TGACACAAAAATGTATCTTGCATTGTCTGCTTGTTCTAAATAATCCCTTTTAGTAGGATTAGTCACAGTATTAAATTAAGAGAAGGAACAATTAATTATATTCTTATGAAATGAAGAAGAGAAGAATCTTTGAAATGTTCTTCTTTTCTCCTCACCGTCTCCCTTTGAAATCTAAAATTGCTTATGTATTTTTCTGTTACAGAAAAATCTTTCAGTCTTCAATTTAAACAGAAGTGGTGGGAATGAGCAGTACATGGCACAAAATGAATTTGGGTTGACTTGTAGGTACACTGAGGGAATGTATGGCCAAAATTAAAAGGAATGCTTGATTTATAACAACTGTTTATCCATGAAGCAAGGCCTTGCTGCTGCAGAGAGCTGTCAGGGGCTTTGGACAAGCACATGTGCTTACCTCAAACAAATATTTTTGTCCTTAGATTTCATTGTTTGTAATGGTTGGTTTGGATGTTTAAAAAATTGAATGTGGTCCTACTTGTCCTCATCACCGTGGCATGGTGTTGGTTAGTATGATAATGATACAATGTCCATTAAAGCCCTTCTTGTAGTGAAATTAAAGGGGTTTTTTTCCTAGCTTTTGTTACAAGGGTTGCATAACAGCTAAAAAGCTCTGAATATTCTTCTGTGGAAAAAAAGCATGAGGATAAATTTCTGGAAGAAACCCTAATAGGTAGACAGCTCCAGAGGAAAACAGTATAATAATAAGGATGCATCTCTAGATCTCTGATAAACTTGGGGAAAATGACCACAGATTATTAAGAGAGGTTGCGAGGGCTGTGAGGACAGAAAACACAATATCGAGAAACCACAATTATCCATGTGTAGGTTGTGTAAATGTTACACAGGGGCACGAAGCCTCTTGGAAAGGTTAATCTGAGAATCCACAGAAGGGAAACAACTCTTATTAGTCTGAAACGGAGCATCAGACCCACATCAATAAGTAATTGTGCAAGAACTACATTCTCTCACTGAATTTAATGCGACCATAATTGAACCTCCTGCTAGGAACAAAAATGCTCTAAAAAGTCCACTGCATAAAAGTTTACTACCGAAAACGAAGAAACTCTTAAGGAAAATTGAAAGGGAAAGCCAGAAGGGTAAAATGCTACCAAACGGGTGTGGAAAGTACTGAAAGACTCGATGTTGAATGCTTAGTGTAGGTGTATGGCACCTATAAAAAGGCTGCCGTTCGACAGATTCCTATGTAATTTATAATTACAAATGAAATGAATAGGCTAGTGACAAAGTTTGCTGGTGACGTAGAGTTATTCAGGATTACTAACTTCAAAGAGTTGCAAAAAGAAGTCTCATGTGAAACTAATGACTGGGTGCAAAATTGCAGAGAAGTACTTGTGGATAAATGCTAGGTTATGTGAATGGAAAAAAATAACTAAGTGTACAGGCACAGTGGTACCCTCAATTCTTGTTCAGGAAAGAGATATTGAAGGCATTATTGGACTCATTTTTATTGCCCTGAAAAATATTACCTCAGTGTTCAAACCTGGTCAAAAATGTATTCAAATATTAAGAGCAAAAATGAAAATCCAGAATAATGGTAGAAGATAAATACCTGGTGCATCCATATCTTGAATACTGCATGAAATTCAGGTTTTCTCCATTTCTGGAAGGATATAGATGAACTAGTAAACATCCTTATAATGATCAAAGGTGCAAATTGCTTATGTATGAGGATAGATTAATGGGCAAGGGCTCTTCCCCTAAGAAAAAAAGAGTATCATCATAAAAGTATTATAAAATAAGTGTATACATCATATTGCTCCTGAGGGAGAGGGAGATAGCATCTTGGAACCTACAAATGATATTAAAATAGTGAATAGGGAGTCAGTTTCTGTGGTTTTGTAGAACAGGAGAACCACAGGGAAAGATTTAAAATAGAAGGGATTATTTTTCCAAACAAACAAACAAACAAAATTAAATTGCAGATTCCTTTGACATGTGAATTTCAGAAGTACAAGTGAGTCCAAGAAAGCATGCATGGAGGACAGATCCATCACTGGCTATTAGATACAAGATCCAGCCTGTGACTGCAGAAGCTCTTAGGCTGCTGACCGCAGGAGACAAGTGGAGAGAGCATCACCCTTCTTCCCTTCTTTCTTTCCCAAACATCTGGTGTTGACTGCTGCCGCAGCCCTGTGCAGGAGGGATGTTTGCTCCGACACTGGATGAGTTCCCACTGCCCTCATATTGTTTTCACCACCTGCAAGCCTCCATAATTATTGTAATTTAGGACAAAACTAATTTTCATTTAAAGTACCAGTCATTATGACAAATGCACTTTCAAGCATCTGGACCCTTGTTTTATTGTGTTTGGACGGTGGGAAATCACCTTAAAATATGTTGAACAGCTGGTGAAAGATTGTTCCAGGGGTGTAGCACTGAAGAACTCCAGGGAGACCTTATTGTGGTCTTTCAGTGCTTAAAGGGGCTTGTAAGAAAGATGGAGAGAGACTTTCTACCAGGGCCTGTAGTGACAGGACAGGGGCAACGGTTTGAAATTGAATTAGGAATAAATTCTTTACTGAGAGGGTGGTGAGACACTGGAGCAGGTTGCCCAGAGAAGTGGTGGATGTCCCCTCTTTGGAATTGTTCAGGGTCAGGACGGGGCTTTGACAACACAGTCTGGTGGAAAGTGTCCCTGTCCATGGCAGAGGGGTTGGACTAGATGATCTCTGAAGGTCCCTCCCAACCCAAACCATGCTCTGATTCTATGAAATATCACCCCCCCAATGCCACATACTCATCAATATGAGAGGACCCGCAGGAGAAGCAGATCTGAACCCTTTCCACTGGAGGGGAGGGAAGCAGGCTCATGTCACTGCTGGGCTGTAATCAAGTGAGCGACTGTGCCTCACTGCCAGCTAATGTGACACACTCCATCTCGGAAAAGGCACCTCCACTGCACAGCACAGGTTGTTCAGTTCAAACACAATTTCAACCTACAAGGAATTTAGTGTCAAGGAAAAGAAAGAAATTATTTTTTTCTGTAAGCCACCTGCTTTGGGTGACTGTGGCTGCACGGTGATCTTGGAGACTGACAGGTTTGGCTTTGATTAAAAACAGTCATGTGCAGTAATTCGCGTGATAATCTGTGATTTCAGGATAGTATGACGTTGCCCCATGTTTCCTCGAGTTACGCATTTTTAGATGGAATACATCACCCATAGCTTTTAAATGTATCTGACAAATTTGTCTTGACAACACTGGAGTTTTGCTCAGTGTGGGATTTTATTAATACATTGTAATGTCTTAAATGATACTTGATGCCTTTTTAATTAAAAAGGCCATAATGTTTCGATGTCAACGTCTGGACTAGTGCTAGAAGACCTGAGCTTTTGGAATTGATTTCTGTTCATCTCAAACAAGTGAAACCTACAGGCAGAACAGCTGAATAACTAAATGTTAAAAGATCTTATTTCTTCAAAGCTTGCCTTTTGCTCCTCAGATTGCAGCCGAGGCTCTGAATGCATCATTCATTGCAGGAAGAATGTTTTCCTATCTCAGCTGGATTGCAGGCTGTTATTCTTTTAATTGTAAAGTGTCTCTTTTTCTGAGGCAAAATGGATCTGATGGTGAATGGCTGCCCTGACAGACAGAGAGGCTGCACATCTTTGATACTTAAATTTCTAGGAAAAAATCGAAAGCTTGCAGCTTTAATTTTTTCCTTGAAAGACCTGCTATTTTTCAGTGGAAACAAATGACTCCACAGCTTAACTACAAACTGGTTTATCATTGTAACCTTATGTGGCATGTGTAGAAATATCTGCCCAAACTGGCAGAAGCATTTTCACTGAGGAAAATACAAGGTTGGATAAATATCACTAATTCTATTGCCTTTTGTTTTCAGCATCTTTAATATGTGCCCTTTCCTTTCCAGCACCATTCCAGGATTATTTCCTATTCGTATTTCTCATGTAACATTCATTGGATATAGCTGAAATTTCGCTGAAGTCCCTGCTGTGCACCAGGACCTAATCAACCTCGATGTCTGTTGTGCTCTAGAGCTGCACACTCAGAGCAGGAGCCAACCTGCAGAGCTGCCGTTCAGCAAATCCCTGCCAAGGTCTGAGGACAATTGCCCTTTTCGGGGCAAAAATTTTTGTTGAAATGGGACTCAAATTTATACTCGGTTCTGACACAAGTGAAGCTGTGCTGCTTGAGTTTCACCATCGTAGTGATGAGGCGTTGTCCACGTCACACATGTTTGTGTGGTGTGGGGGGATATCAAGCAAGAGTGTATCTAATTATTTGTATCTAATTATTTGGGGGGATATCAAGCAAGAGTGTATCTAATTACTTGTATCTAATTTTTTGTTTTCATGATATATACCTGTTAATGGCAGAAGTAGACAAATGCTAGTTGACTAAGTGTCTTTCATCCATCTGTTGAGGATTTAAACGTATCCCAGGCTGATAGCAACTGTTCCTTTTTTCTGCTGTTACTGGTATCTGTCAGTAAAAGAGGAGAAATGGGCAGACAGTGTTAACCTAGTCCTTTTTTTAATGGGTATCATCAGCAGGATCGCTAACACGGCTGTCGGAAGGACCATGCATGGCCCCCGTCTTTCAGAAGGGCTTCTTTCAGGCTACAGATGAGCATTGGTTGAGGGTGAAAAAGGGCCAGGCTTCTTTACCACTGACCAAGCAGTAGCCTTTAATTGAGAAAACGAGACTATCGTGTTGTTTATTGCTGATCTGAAAGATGTCACTTGTTTCAACGTTTCTAAATTCTGCTGCGTTTTTAAAACAAGTCAGTGTGTTATGAACTCTTTCGAGTTAGAGATAGTACAATGTTAGACATGTTGGAGATAGTACAATAACACGGAGCACAATGGAAGATAAATGATGTATTCCTGTGGTGCAAACCACTGTCTGCTAGTGTGTCAGAGCCGGTCTCTGTCCTTATACTCTGTATTCATTAGTGCCTCGAGGGATATTTATTCACCTTATCTGTTCTGTTCTAGTGATTCACCATTTTTCAATGGACGAGAGGCGCATGCGAGCAATAAAAGAGATGGCTCGCATCTTGAGAACGGGAGGCCAGATAATGATATATGTGTGGGCAATGGAGCAAAAACGGAGATTTGAAAAGCAAGATGTCTTTGTTCCTTGGAATCCTTCACCTCCTTCCTGCTCCTCAAGTGAGCCTTGCTCACGTGGAGTACAAAAATCAATTCTTCACAAGGACAAAGAGCTGGCTTTGAACCAGCCCTGTCGTAAGTTGGATGGGACTTCAGAGGTACACGGGACAGCAAGGAGCTCATCCCGTGGAGGGGAGAAAAAAGCACTGCGCACAGTGTTAGAGAAATGTCTGAGATGGTCTCTGTTCTCAAGATCACTTGACTCGGTATTAGATGTGGGTGATCAGCGGCACCAGGAACAGCTCATTAGATACTGCAATTAAGGCATTCAGCTGAATGAATTAAACAGAGAAAAAAAAAATTGAAAAAAAAAAAAAACAGAGAGCATGGCTTTCTGAAATGTGCTTCTGACTTTTTTCTACGTTGCAAACCGAGGTTTGAAAATACAACAGCTTTTGAAGTGGCTGTTAAACCTGTGCTGCCCATGTCACACTGCTTGAAGGCTTTCAGAAGTTGCTATTCAGAATTAGGGCAAGCAACTATACAGCTCCCTATGGCTGCAGATACTCTTCCCGATTGCAGCGGCGTGTGTTTACCTGACCTGGTTTCACATCAGAAAGAATTAGCTGTCAGACAAAAACTTAAAATAGACCATCACCCAAAACAAGGAGCTTTCTGCCAACCTCAGAACAAAATAAGAACAGGCTTTTCTCTGCTGGCAGCAGTCAGTGAGCACTCCCTGACCACGCAGAGTTGGCAGCAGGTGGGACCTGGCTGAGGTACCACCACGATTTTAAAGGAGGGGAGTTGGCTGAGCTGATAGAGAGTCATATTCCTGAGCTACACATTCCTCATTCATACTTTGACCATGCTAATCAGTGCATGATGGTAGAAAAGACTGAAGTGTGGAAGATCTAGGGGAAAATTTCCTTCTTGAAATGCACAAAGAATACTTAGGGGCTTTCTTCCTTTTGAAAGCTCAGCTCCTTTGAAAATCTTTCCTGAAGCTTTTTATAGCCTTGGGTTTGTTCTGGGGCAGAGGGAGACTTATGAGGAGGAGACTGCTTTGAAACTCTCAGGTTCTGTTACTGCTTTCTTTGATTTTGGTCTTAAAATAGATCTTTATTGACATTTTTTTTTAATAGTTATTGTTTCAGACTGAGCACATTTCAGCGCACTGACCCCTTTTCATAAACAGCTGTCAGCTGTGTTTTGCTGCTTGAAAATAGGTAAAATGCAGTTAGAAGGCAATTGCTGGATTATTTTTTACACATGCATTAAAAGCCTTTGTTATTAATTTATAACTATATAATCATTAATGTCAACTTTTTATTTTAAAATTTATTGTACTCTGCCACTTGATGCAATATAACATGGGAAGCAACTGAAAAATGCACTATTTTGTTACAATTCACTTTGTCAGCTTATATGATTCTTCTAGTCATACTAGACAGTCTTATGAGGATTGCTAGGTGTAAGAGCCTTCATGTCAGAGACAGTAACTCATGACACTGTCATAGTCCAGAGATCTTTTTCACTGCCTTGTAACAGTCACAGCCAAGAAAGCAAAGGGATGTTTGCCTCCAAATATGCCACCACATGACCCCTCCAAAAGGTAGTTTTAAAAGTGAACTCAACATGTATGCTGAAGCCTGGATTGCTCTTTCTCCCTGTCAGCAAAACTAAAACAAGTTGGAAGGATTTAAGAACTCATTTAAAGCTGTACAGTGAATGAGCATAGCACAAAAAAAGTGTTCCACTGACTGCTAGTCAACTAAGAAAATGTTTATTAACATCAGCATGCAATACTAATGCTTTTAACTACATATTCACCTTTCACAAAGAAGATTAGATTCATTATCCAATTTTTATAGATAAAGAAACTGAGGTAAGTAATTTTTTTTAAGGTTGGAATGTAAATATTTGGAAAAAAAAAAAAAAAAACAAAAAACAAAAAAACAAACCAAAACAAACCAACCAACCAAACAAACAAACAAACAAAAAAAAATCTCAGGCAACACAGCTGCTTTGATGATGATTATGTGCTGGAGAGGTCTGTCTATAATTTTACTTCCTGCCATTTGTGAATTAGCAAGTCAGAGATCAACCTTGTTTTCTGGGAAATAAGCCCCTGCATGGTCTTTACATGTCTGTCAGTAGCAGATGCATATCATGTTTTCCAACATAGCATGGAACTTTACAGTAATCTGAGTTTTGTAATGCAGCTTTAATTCAATTTGGATATAATATCTATAATCACATTTCCTTTACTTCCTCCCATGGAGTTCACGTCGGCGGTATCATAGTACATCTTGTATTTTCAGATGGAAAAGCTAGAGGGGCTAATCAGTCTCCTCCATCCGTAATGACTGCTTCTGCAGGGCTCCTTTTTTCCCCCTAAATGTTAGTATCATTGCACAAGTGAAGAAAACAATTTTCAGTCACACAATATTGCTGCCGTTCAGCTCTGATGACACTGCTCCCGTCATTCCGTCCGCTTGTTCCATTGCCAGAAGGGCTTGACAGCACCTCCCCATTTTTCAGTGCAGCTTCAGGTTGCACTAAGCAGGAGCAGCATGTTGCAGCTCTGAGCCTCTCCATCACGCCTGCTCCTACGGTTCAACAGGCTGTTAACCCACAGGATGCACCAGAAAAATGCCTTTGATCAGAGCTGCCGGTCCTTGCCCTCAAGCACCCCTTATGCTTAGTTTTCCTGGAAACCAAAACCAGTATTTTAACAGAACCTGACTGGTCCTCTTGGAAGGTTTTAGCCAGCTCCAGCATTCCCTGAACAAAAGGTGCTCATCATTTCCAGTCCTTCCCTAGGGTGCAATGAGTCACCACTAGATTTCTCCTAATGCTGATGCCCTGGCTCTGCCTGCTCCAGGTGGGGTGTTCCCAAACAAGGTCCATGTGACAGCAACAGTACTAGCTGATCTGGAAGGAATTTTAATCTCTGGACAACCGTCAGTGGCTCTAAAAGCAGCCCTGCCTTTCAGCAGGGAATTAATGTCCTTGTCTGGAATGAAACAAACTGCAGAGGCCCACTTCTTGTGTAGCAAAGTGCTGCCTAAGGCATGGGTTAGACCTGCTTCCACCCGGGATGGCTCCCACTCAGGATAGTTGCCCCTGGAGGGTGCCAAGCGCTTCCTGGGATCAGAGTAAATTCAGCCTCTTGCAAATGAAGCTGCCCCAGGACACAGGGCTGACTATGCAGGGAAAGAAAGTAGGCATGGATTTGGTTGGAAGCATCATGTATTAATACTTCCTCATATTTATGCATGTCACAGATGTTATAAAGCCATAAACTCTACTTGAAATTCTCGTTTTGATCGGGATGCCAGTAACAAAATCAGGATTGAGTTCATTCCTTCATTTCTACATTGCAGTCTGCATTTGTAGTCCTCAGGGTAGGTGCTGCCTTGCATCGAGGGATATAGCAGGGAACTGCTCTGCACTCCTGAGCAGTGCTTGGTCCTAATTTGTTTTCTTCTTGTGTCCTTTGCTGTTCTGAGCTGGACTTTAGAATAGAAAGGTCCCATTTTTCTGGCTTCATTTAGGCATCCAGATCTGTATGTAAGTCTAGCTTTGTGCTCCATATCACCTGTGGAGTTAATTGCAAGAAATAGCCCCTTTAGAGGATGAAGCATGAAATACACCTTGAGGAGCTGTTGAAATTAGAGTGCTCACATTCAGCACCTGCTCATCTCTTTCTCTTGCTTGTGGAAGGAGCTTAGAGAGGAGCTCAGCCTTAAACACCGATTCTTCGATGCTTCAGCTAGGAGAGATGGATCCTACCTAGGAATCTTTTAAGTTTTGAGGACGGAAAAAAAGGAGCACAAACAACAGTAAAATAAGACAGATTCATCCCCCACTCAGCCTTTTGGCCAAGCAGGGATGCCTACATATCCCTGTTTTGTAGGAACCATATGGAAAAATTCATTGCTAAACTGGGGGGGGGGGGGGGGGGGGGGGGGGGAAGACAAAAAGCAGCAGCCTAGCTCAGATCTTCTTTACAGCATCTGCCACTCTGAAATCATGGTCATTTGAGGCCTCATCTGTCCAAGAGACACCTTCAGAAAAGCTTCCAGTGTCTGACACTATACCTGATCTACCAATGATGATCACCTTTACAGATATTAATATTAATAAAGCCAATGTCTTCTCACTTTTTCTGATTTGCACGTCCTGAAAAATTCCCCAGTGTTGGAGATTTCTCAGTTTTCTTCCCAGACAGTTGCTGTGCTCTTCTTAATTTCTTTTATGGACCCCTGGGAAATCTTCCCCAGCCATCCCAGGATCCACGAGCACAGCGTGGGGTCCTCTCTTCTGTGCTTGCCACATTAAGCACTGTCACACTGAGTCCCATGCAGCCCACGTGAAGTTGGCACAGTAGCAGCAGCCCTTTCTGCTCACAGCACTAAACCTAAGACACCGTGAGCGCAGCACTGTTTATCCTCCTTTGGCATAAACAGGTTTGATGAGTGTGAGTCTACCATAAAAGATTTTTGCCCACTGGGTAAAAGTCTTTCTTCTAATTGTCTGCTAATTGGCAAGCAGCTAATCCCACTTATTATCAAAATTCTTTCTCCAAAGAAAATTCAGCCAAGAGTTTCATAAATCCTCTTCCCTCATCCTTTTTAATTTTAAAAATCATTCCAAGTATCACTTAGTATCTATCACCTAAGGAGGTGTTCTGTTTGAGTTAATCAGCTCCTGTAGGGTTATCTGTGATCTATCTGCAAATGCTTTAGCCAGCCTCTTGCCTTCTGTCTTAATTAGTAATTACTACCTAAAATTGTCACTTACCATAGGCATTTTTTGTACTGGCCTCTCAGATTAAGATTGCCCATGAAATCAGAAGTGGAAGAAGCCTATTGGGTCACTTATTCTATCCTCTAAAGTGCATTTGTTATTCACGGTGTGTGGCAGGGACCACAAGTGTAGGGTAAGATTGAGAATAGTGCAGTTAACTCGTCTTTGATATGTAAATACAATTAATGAGTATACCTGTCTTCCCCCAGGACCTGTCCTTGTCTGCTTTGTCATTCTGACTTCTTTCTTTCTTCTCTTTGATGGGGCTTCTGATTTTCTTTCCTTCCTTCTCACTTAAGACTGAAAACAACATTTTGCAGAAGGATTCCAAGTGGTAAAAAGCATAGAAAATATTCCATATATTTCTCAAAACATGTGCTTTACTAGCATGCCTTTCAGATCTCATTGAAACCAGGACTGTACTAGGTGTCACCTTCATAATTTCGCACAACAAATCATTTGACATGAACATACTATTGCAAGTTTAAAAAAGAACACCAGCTTGCTTGCAGTGAAAGCCCACATGGCAACATTTAACTATAGCGAAACTGTGCCATTCACTGGCTGTCACAGACTTCCAACTAAAAGCACCACATTTAATACAGCAAAGTAAGTTGTCCCAGGCAAAACCAAGAAAAATTATTTGGGGAAACACTGGGTCAGCCAAGAGAGGGAGCAGGACAGCAGGTCTCCATCTCCCAGTCTGCAATTGCTCCATAACCAAACTCTGCTCTTTATAACTGTATACAGTGGCTTGAAAAGAGCTTAAAAATACCCAAGAAAGGTATTTTAACAGTAATCCATGCCAGAGTCACCACAGAGCCTTTATGTAAAAGTGAACAGAGAAGTCACCTTCTACAAAACCAGTCTGGCTAGTAAAATGCAGGCTTCCTACCGATAAAGGCCAGCAGCTTTTATATTTTTTTTTTTTTCCACCAGCACTTTCCCTTCACCACCATACGTAGGTATCTCTACAGAGCATCACAAATAAAAATTAAAATTGTCTTCTACTGCAGCCTGGTGATCTACTACATGTTGGAGCACAACCTCTTCCAAGCCCAGGAAGGCTTTATTTTACGTGTGGAAAATTGAGCAGAAGGCCAACAGAGCTGAGTGGGGATCTTCGGACTGAGCTCATATGTGTAAAGGAAGGTTCCAATTAGAAATTTTAAAAATGAGAAAATTAGGAAAATATCTTTCCCTGTGAGGGCAGAGAAATGGGCTGCCCAGAGGAGTGGTGGTGAGGCATGGAATCACGACTTTAGAACCAGGAAGGTTATGAAGTAGGTATGTTTATTCAGCGCTGGGTGCACGGGGGAATCATTTCCTCCAAATGCACATGCGCCTTGGAGCCAAAAGCGGCTCCTTTTTATTACATAGAATGTTCCATATGTATCACAATTCCGGGAATAGGGAGGGAATGTTACAATTAGTTCCGAGAAATCCTTAAAATATACCCCCCCAGCACACACACACACATACACACGGGGACAACACTGGTGCCAGAGAAGAAGGTGTAAGGAAGTTTAAGAGTGGGAAGATTTAAGACGCATTGTAGGATTTCAGCTACTGAATTTGGATCTCTGGGACACTGTGCAATAGAAGGCAGCAACTTTGGGTCAGGAAGCATTGACTGCCCCAGGCAGGAGGACCTGGGCATTGGTGGCTGTAAAGCAAGATGGTTTGATAGCCACAGCGGCCTGGAGCTTTGGGGAGGAGACGTGCTGGGGCTGCCTGAAGGGCCCATGTTTTAGGGCAGGGAAACATGCACCAGCTGCCTTTTCTTTCTCTGTTCCTGGGCATACGGGAGCCATAGACATATCTCAGGACGACTCCTCTCCCGAGTGCATTCTCATGCACCAAACCAGGATCTTTGACTTGTTTTCCTTCTAGCCCATGAACCTTGGCTGCAGTGGACCACATCTATGAAAAGGGTGGAGTTGCTCCCTCCTAAATCCTGCCAATCCCATAGGCCGATGGGGAAGGCAGGTGAGCGAGCTCAAGCTGAATTACAAATATTAGGCAGTAACTAGTTCGCTGACCATCATTTTCAGAAATTACAGTCAATTTCCCCTTTTGCTACTTTTTTAAGAGATTCCAGTGTTCCTGTTTCCCTCAAATGCAGCTGTGCAGACCACTGATTCAGCAAATCTCACAGGGGCTTCCAATGAACACTTGAGTGGGAAAGGCAGGGAGACCATCAAACAGATGAGCCACTGATACAAAACAGAAATTTCCATCATGGAGGAGGCAGAATTTTAACAGTTATTTTTAACCTCTAATTTCCCTCCTAAATGTACTTCTAGGTAATAGTAAAATGCACTAATACGTAATATTAAAATAAACCTATTAACTGGAAACAAAATCAATCACCCTAGTTTAAATCTCTTTAGATGGAGCAAGTGCAGAATCCAGCTCTCACTTCTGGCCGAGTGCTCCAGCCTTTGGAAAAACATGAGCCTTGCTCACCTCCTACAATGAATATTTGTAGATCCCTGCCGAGGTAGATGGTTCCCAAGCAAAGAGACATCTCCCTCATAGCTGTCCTCCGAGTGTCTAATGCTCCCCCCACCTTGTCTTCGTGCTTTCTGGTAGCTGAACTCCTCTACCTGTCCCCAGCCACTCTCAAACCAGCTCTTGCTGTTTCCAGCCACCTTTCTTCTTGGAAATCAACTTTGGGTATTTCAGCTTCCTTTGCAAACCAGGGGAGAAAAGGGACCTGGAAAAGAGGAGACATCTCAAGGGCAGCACAGACATGGTTCAAAGGGACCCTGGGCAGAAAATAGTATGAACAAGGTGGCACCAGGAATGCTGCACTTCAGCAGTTAACATGGCATGAAATTACTTTGGGAATAGCACTGGCAAGTCTGTCTAGCAAAATAATAATATTGATTGACTAACTTCTGTGAGATGGTCCCTGAGAAAGAGCTAAAAGTAACTGCAGGACTTCCATGGGACCAAGAAGCTATAATTTTGATTGAGAGCTGAAAGTCACTTACAAGATTATTGGAGCCCCATTCCTGATAAAGTACCTCGTTGTATCAAAGGCAGAGGTTTCCCTTGGCGCAGCAAAACAGACATTCCTTCAAGCTGCAGGTACTCCTGTCTTGCCGAGCCACCCCTGCACACTGCTACTGGACTGTGACTGACTTTGACGGAGCACTCCGTCGTGGCAGCAAGGGCGCTCCCAGCACTGTCACTGCAGGGAAGCAGAGGACAGCAAGCTTAGCTGGTGCCCAGCATTTGGGATGCCATCTCATAGCGTCCCATTCCTAAGACAGGCTCCGTAGTAAAAGACCAACATCTACTCCGTGTCTTGAGGCAGGGCTGAAGATCAGCTCCACGAAGGTGCCAGGACAGAGGTAGTGATGGGTGCCCCAGCACCTCTGCTGGAAGAAACGCAGATGGAGCAGGGGTGAAGTCACATCCCGCAGGCTCCTTCTTGTATTATCTTATGTCTCACCCCTATTTAAGAGACCTCGAACCCATCACAACTGAAATACCACTGAACACTCAAATGATCGGGACAATATTTACTAGCTCCCGAGGTGCTGAAACAGAGTGTACAATTTCTCCCAGAATTTCAGCACGCACACTGTATACAACTGCAGAAGAAAACCTGCTATAGGAATGCTTAACTACTAATAGGCTTATTTTTCAGACAAGCAAAGCATTCAACTGCTTAAAGAAAAATAATAAATACTGGGTTAGGCCCCAGTTGTCTTAGTTAATTTGGACAGAAAATAATTTCAATTTTGATGACAGAGAAAATTCTGAGTCAATTCCCCAGTGTATTGAAGTTAATGGCAAACTCTTTTAATCTTGGTCATTTCGTGATGTGTGACTAATTCCTGACATGCAACTTCCAGGACATACTACTGATTAGCCTCCAGGGCACATTCAACAATAGAGGTTAATTTCTTTTCTGTGCTTATGTATTTACATTCCTTCCTTCCCTATGAAACGTAAAGAACAAGAGAAGTAGTTTGGCCTTCAAGAACTAGAAGCACATTTCAGTGTCACATTAAGACAACTTTTGTTTAGCAGACTACAACTCTGGGGTTTGGTTTGGGTCATTGATTGAGATCCAGCGCAACAAATTCATACGGCACTAATTGTTAGCACAGGCAAAAAATGTTAAACAAGAAGGATTTAAAGGCTGCTCAGGCATAGCAGAGCTCTTTCCAACAAGACAAATTACAGCTATTATTTTATAGCAATGAACCATAATAATCCTGAATTCCCTGCACTGGGAGGAAAACTTGTGATAATGAACTCTTCTGTTATCTACCTTACATTCTAGCCTGCAATAATCAGGGTATTTCTTTGGTAGAGAAGGGGACATTCCTCATGTCAGCTTTGCTTATGTGAATTTATTTAATACATTTTAAAAATCATCTTCCAATCAGACAATATATTTATTATGATTAATGCTCAAGTAGAGCTGTTTACCACAGATGTCTAAAGAGAACTTGATTTTTTAAAATAACATTTCTCAAGTTAACACTTAACAGGGAATAAAGTTTAAATGCACAACTCGCCCTTTGCAGGGCAGAGAAAGTTTTAACGGAAGTAGTTGCTGCCTTTAGTTTCTTGATCATTTTTTAAAAAATCGGTTTCACCTCTGGCTTTCTGTGCTAGCATGAAGCTGACTCCTCTGCAACCTCTTAGACTTGTTCACTGTTTAAATCCCACCTGGGCGGGAGCAGCTTGGAGTTTTCACAGGGAACTAGCAGGAGGTGACGCTGGATGAAAGCGAGGGTAATCCTCTCAGCATGCAATTCAGAAGCAATTCTAAGCAGGTCGCAAAAGATGAAATCAGCTGAAGAAATGGATCATCTAGAGGTTGGTCTTGTGCTATTCAGTGTTTAAAAGTCTATCTGCACTGCCTCTCCCACTCCATCTGTGAAGCAGGAGTACTGTGCTCAGCGCTGGGCCGCGCGCATGCAGGCTCCAGAGGCAGCTGTGCCCCTTGCTGAGGTTCTGCTTTTCCCGGTAAAAGGGTTACACGGTAGCCTCATGTGGAGAAAAAAAGGCAGAAAATTTCTGTTTGTTTCTGACACCCACCACTCACACATTCCCATCAGCACTAGGTCAGTGCACAGCACAGGGGATGGGGGTTGCTGGTCCCTGCTTCCTCCAGCACAGCCCAGGACCCCAGTTCGGTGCCCCAGGACCTCTAAGCAAGTGCCACAGCCACCCAAGAGGGAGGGGGAGCAGCATCCAAGGTGGCTACCAGCCTCCAAGTCGTCCCCAAAAAGCGCAACTTACTGATCATTTAAGGCAGGAGTTGCCTTTAAAATTACTGCATGAAGGAAGAACGTGCACAAAGACTTACGAGATACTGTGCCTGTGCATTTAAATTTCTGTGTAGGGTGTGGTAGGCAGATGCAGGAGCAGGATCAGCAGGGGGAGATGCTGGCTTTTAGGAGCAAGGATAGCCATTTCCTCTGCCAGCTAACCCTGATCATTATCCCATTTTTCCATCCTTGACTACTCGATTCATCCAAAGTAGAACATGATAAAAGTGAAACTTCAAGAAGAGGCAGCAAGAACATCTACAGAGAGGTTTATGTTGGGGTTTCAGTCTCCTAGACAAAGCTGCTGAGATCTTTTGGAACAGCAAGCTGCTCCTCTGCCGCCTCCGACCGACAATCCAGCTCCTGCCTCTCCCCATTAATACTGCCCCTGCGTGCTTCAGCTGTACTTCACAAACCGCTACATACGTTCCCCTTCTCCCACATTAGCTCTCTTCCTTTTTTTGTTTTGGGGGGGCTGAGAGGGTGAGGGGTGGGGGACAGGGTAAGTGAAACAACTCATGCTTTTGTTTCATCAAGCGCTATACTTAGGGTAGGCAAATGCGAAAGTTTGTCTGGCTTTTAAAAATGAGTAGATAGACTAAGCTCCTGAAGGAGGCAACAATTAGTACATGCAGTAATTATGCCCCTTCTACCATTCTTATGCTCCTCCTTGTAAAGGATTTAAGTACTCATTTCCACCATCACTGACTCTAATTTAACAGGATCTCTGACAGTCAAGGCACTTAAACTCTGACAAGCAGCGTACCAGTGACAAGAGCAGATGGAAGAGAAAAATCCATCTTCTAGACTTCTTCAGTTTTAAGGAGAGCAGCTGAGCATGAAGCAGGCCAGCACCACCTTACTGAGAATGAATCTGAAGGCAAGCTGTGCTTTAACACATGGGATGGTCAAGTTCCTGAGAACAGCAGCAACCCTACCTCTTTAAGGACTAATGCTGCCTTTTATACATTTTTAAAGGACGTAACAGAATTATTACTAACTGGTGAGATTCCTTCTTTATCAATTACTACAGGCAGGGCCCTAGCTTCCAAAAACCTGCCATTATGCGTAACTAGATCTGACACAAAAAGGCGTATCCAACCTTCCTGAAAGACAGTCTACATCAAAGCAAATTAATACCTAGGTAGCCACAGTGTAAAACACTAATTCAGCATTTCATTTGTTGTTCAGATTTTTACAATTTATTTTGCCATTTTAAGAATGTTACATATGAATTTAAGAGGTGAAGGAACATTTGATAAAAGTTGAAACGTGACCCTTGGTTAAACCACAGTCAAAGGAATGATCTTCACCCAAACAGCATCATGTACGTTGAAAGTGTTAGCCAGCAAATGTCCTTGCTTTACATAGGTACATTCCTTCTAAACAAAACGATCCATGCTGTCAAACTGATTTACAAGCAACACAAAAGTATTGCTCATCCACAATTCCAATGTGACTGCTCACAAACAAGAGTTGGACAGCATTCTGTGTCAGCACAGCTCAGAAAACAGCATGGCTAGAACAAAAAGCCAAACAGCAAGATATATACATCAGTAGGGCAGAACACACATGCTTAAACTAGACCTAACCACAACATGAAAGAACTCTTTTGCTTACAGCCTTGTCCATGAGCAATCAAAAAGCAAGCATGAAGCATCCCTGTTCTCTCTTCTTAATATCAGCTCACAAATACTGCAAAGCGACCACAATCTTATATGTCTTCCAAGGCAACTTGTCTTTCTGAAAGGCTAATGCATTTCATATGGATCTAAAGATGGATTTGTGGCTGTCAAAAAAAATACATCAGGTTTCTAAAACTGAACAAACATGGTTCTTTAATTCACTATATTTTATATTAATAACAAAATAAAATATTTCACTTTGAAGTGGACTCACATCCAATCAAGCATGGACAAGTAGACAACATTTGCAACATTATCGGCATCACGAGACAACATTCTGTGTGTGACTTTGGGCATCGGAGTTAAAACATCATGTCATCTAGTCCGTCCTCCATAAACTTCTTGTAAATTGCCATAAACTTTGCTACAAATGCTTCCAGATGATAAATGGCTTTGCTGCCTAGTTGCAGGCGGTGTTCATAGAAGGCCGCCATCTGTGCAACTTCTCCTTTCAGTTGTCCATCACAGTTATTTAGAAGTTCTGTCAAGAGGCCCTAAAAGGGGGAAAAACAGGACAGTATTTGAAAAATTTATATACTTTTGGTAAGAGGATAACCTCATTTTTCTGAAAAGAGCCAAGCTATGATCAATAGTTCACTCATGAATCCAACAGAAAAGACATTCAAGAATCATTTCACCATCTATTTGACAGAACTACATTCATGAAATCATATCTCTTCAGAACCTTTTTTCAAGATAAATTCTTCATGTCAAAACAGACATTCTCTATTGTGTTCTTAGATGGGAAAAATCATATACTGGAACTACTTATGCCTTAATAAAGAAAATAAATTAACCTCGTATCCAAATACATAACCTTTACTGCATGCAGGCACACAGCCCCGGGGAAAATTTTTACTAAGACAGCAAGTGTATTAAAATCACTTACTTCCTGCCTTGACAGCATCAAGCACAAAAAGAAAGAATATTAATAAATAACAAGGAAAGGGTTTATTTAAAATTTAAGTATATCTGTTTATGTACACATGTATGTGTAGACACACACAAGATACTTTGCAACTATACTTCAGTCATTACAAAACCAAGAAATTCATTATTTTAGATCAGAGACAGTAATAAAATGATTGCAAATCCATCTCTACTAAAATGGTCACGGTTAAGTGAGAAGTATCTCCAGACCACTTCAAGTTTATGAAGAGGGAGTGGGCAGAGAACATCCACCTTTGGTCTGACAACAACAGTCATTAAACAAGGCAATGCAGGATCCACTAACCTACTATAAGAAAGGGAAGTTAAAGAAAAACCTAACTACCAAAACCCTCAGAAAGCACACATCAGTTAACGTGAAAACAAATCTATTGTCTTGCAATTATATCTGATGGCAAAGTCTACCTAATGTAAATTGCAAATCATCTTCAATCTTTGTTCTGCTCTGTTTTCAGCATCCTTTCATCCTGCCTAAAACAGAAACGTGCACACCCTGTTTGCTTTTTCTCTCCTCCCAAGATGACTTCTGTCTTTGAAGAGGCCTGCTGGTCTAGCATCTTTCAGCAAACCTCTCCACTAGAACATAGCGAATATTGAACTTACGACAACAAAGCTTTTACAAAAGAAACCAAACCATATCAAAATCAGATCATAAAAAGCCTATGCTTCAATACAGAAATGGGCTGAGAAGTCTTCAGGAGGACAAAGCACGTCCTCCTCTGTTTTTACTCAGCTATGATGCTGCTGTTCTGTAATCACAGAACAAGTTTTAGTAAATGACTCAACAGAGGCGTGAACAAGGAAGCCTGCAATAAAAATAAACTAGACGACATTTACATTTTCCAAATTGGAGGACACAATCTTCCTGCCCCCAAAATCTACACAATTCAAAACCATCATGCCTGAATATATTTAGGCATGAACCTAACTATAGTATATACACTAACAGTCTAGTATATCAACTGAGGATCTTGAGAAGTGAATGCTATGTATCAGTGTTTGCAGGAACAAGGTCTTGAACTACTGCTTCAGAGCGATAATCTGCACTATTTTGGTTACTCCAGTGGAAAGAAACACAAGAGAAAAGTATCTTTTGGTCACTCACGTCTATTTGGAAAGGACACAGCTTTTCATCAATATTTGGATAATCGGTGTTGCTTTGGTGTGGTTTTTTTTTTTTTTTTTTTTTAAACTCAAATTGAGATTATCATAGCATTAATATTTATAACACATTAAGAGCTAGATAGCTGAATTACCTTCATTATAATCTCAGGAGGAATGCAGTGTGTCAGGAGTTCATAAAGCCGTCCACGGACCTCTAAAAGCCTGTTGGAAAGACACCACAAAATATCAGAAGGATGTCCTCAAATCATATTAATGCAATTTCACTGTTTGTAAAATATGCAAAGGGGGTTTTTTTTCCTGTTTTTAGTTTTGCGTGTTATTTTAAACCCCAAAACACTGCACAAGTCAGTTTTAATTCAAATGCTACATAACACCTTTTATTCAAAACAAGAAGGTAAACTACATATACTCTAGTTACAATGGTCTTAGTTAATCTAGAAGCTACAAGGCTATTAGAATTTATCTCAGGCTTGTCTCCCTTTCATTCTTCTTCACTTCTAAATTATTATTCACACTTAAGATTAGTGAGAAGACGCCACAAAATTGATTAGAGCCACAAAATTCATTTATGTTTGTTTTCCTGTCTTCATTGTTTAAAAGAGGGGGGTAAGATGATCAGGTGTCAGAAATTGACAGTTACCAATTCTCAATTTTTGGTACCAGGAGGTCAGAAGCTGTAAGCGTTTAAAAGAAATACAAGAATTTAAGAACATCTCATGTAATATATAGAACAGACTAAAAGGATCAGGATGTGTATATGACACCAAGATGGATAAAGGGAAGGGGGCATCTCCTAATATGCTTTAAAAGCAATAATTTCTCATTTCCATATCTTTTACAAAGGTGTGTTATGTTATAGACAGTGAAACAGAAGCCTTAAATAAACCAAACAAAAAAAAAAAAAAAAAAAAAAAATCTAACACTACCACCCCCACTCCCCCTCAAAAACCCCAGACAGACAGCAAAACATGTAACTAAGCTTGTGCTCACTTTTGATTACAAAGCTTCAACAGAGAAAATCAACAATAGTTTCAGTTCCTGAAGTTCATTCATTCTCCTCTGGTAATTTTAAAGCTCACTTCCTCTGGCTGCAAAGTACAAGCTCCGGTAGAAATGCCAGAAAATTACATATAACTAAAGTAAAGATGCCACATTTTTAAAATATAACTTTTTTTTTAAGGTTCAAGAGTACACCAAAACCATAATTTATAACTTCAAGCAAGCGTATTCACCTACCTTTGTGGTGTCTGTTGACCAACAATAGCATTCGCAGTTTCTCTCAAATAAACTTCCCAGTCCATCTCAGGAATGTCTTGATCAGCAGTAAAAGGATACCTACATAATAATATTTTTAAAAAATTAAAATCAAAGCAAACTATCACCTGTTCTAACAAGGCCTCAGAAGTAAGTTCATTTATGTGTCAGAATATAATTTACATTAATTTTCAACAGTGACACTTACTGTTGTACTCTGCAGGACTCACACATAAGTAGTGCTTTCCGAAGATTCCTGCCAGATTTCTCTGCAAGCCTTTGAGCAAGCTCCTGAGGAAGAGTCAGGCCTTCTTTCTTACACACACTGGACAAGACATGGCAGATCTAGATGGAAAACAGATAGCAGAGAGTGCAACACTTAACAGTTTAGCACCTACAGATTCTCCTGTTTTAAACATTTCTGGACCAGAGATGGACCAGTCTTTCATAAGACACGCTTGACAAGTCACCCACCACAAAGAAAAACTAAGTCACTCTGTGGAAGTAAAATATGTCATAAGTCCACAGCAAGACCTTAGCGAGTAAGAAGATTTAAATAACTTTATTTTGCTTCCATTTCAACATACATCTTCAATGCTGGGAGCAGGCACTCGTACAGCCAGGCATCTGCTTTGAATAGGTCCTATAATTTTTGACATGGAGTTGCAGCACAGGATCAACCTGCAGGTCGCCATGTACTTCTCCATTGTTCTTCTCAAAGCATGCTGAGCATCTTTAGTGAGTTTGTCGACTTCTGTTAACAACACCACTGAAAAAAGAATTAAAAATAGGGGGTTTTTTAATCAATATCAAATCTTTCTAAGAAAATGGGTACTTTGACATACTATCAATAATATGAAAATAAGTAT